TAGGTTTAGGGGTAGGGTTGGTGTAGGACAATAGAATATACGGTCTGTACAGTATAAAAACCATTACGCCTATGGAGAGTCCCCACAAGGATAGCTGACCAGACATGTGTGTGTGTGTGTGTGTGTGTGATGACTGATGTATTTCATATTTAATTTAGAATATAAATTTGTGGTAATAAAAATAATTGTTATTGTTGTTGTTGTTAATTATTAATATTATTAAGAATAATAATAAGGCAAATTCTAGTTACCACTTAGCAACTACCCTAGCAATTCCTGTTTAATTAAATAAAATTGTATTACCTTTAAATAATTATTGATGCGGTCGTATTGTGCATTCATTGGTTGTTCAGTGTTTGTTTGTGTGAATGCAGGTGAAAGCGTTCTGTGACGTAGATGAGAACAAAATTCAGAGGGGCTTTTACATGTACGAGGAGTCAAAGGTGAGGAACGCACATCACTTCAAAACATTATAAAAATATATAGTCTTCAGTTCTGTTTATTCCATGATCAGATATTCACTGACTTTAATGCAGCATTACAGTATATAGGAATATAAGCCTCACAGTGTCATCAGCGTTTATGCTCAGACACAGAGTAGCCGTCAGCTGTTTGCACACAGACGTACTGTGACTAATTAATTTCCTGGAAAATCCATCATTAGCCACATGAGCGTATGAATGTACACAGCCAAAACCAGCATAATCAACACAGGAACAGTCACATCCTGCAGGAGAGCGATTATCTGAATTAATATTGAGAAACCAAACTCACTTGAGCTTTTTAATGACCACTAATAAAAGAGTGAAATGGTGAAATGGTGGATAAACACACACACACACTCGCTCTCGTTTCCTCTGTTTCTCTCAGGAACGGCCAAAACCCAGGATTCCTGTGCTGCACTTCACAAACGCATCGCCGCCGTTCATCGTGTGTGTGAAGCTGGTGAGTGTGTGTGTGAAGCTGGTGAGTGTGTGTGTGTGTGTGTGTGTGTGTGTGTGAGAGAGAGA